CTACTCTAAGACTAAATCAGGTCTGGAAAACTAACATCTGAATGAGACTGAATACTCTACATCAGATTCCCATATTTCAGCACATCTCTGTGAGTATTGGACAAGGTAATATGCAATGAAGCGAATGTGGTCTCCAATTATCTGGGGAAGAGTGGTGAAAGACTCAAAACCAGCCACAATATTACTGGTGTAGACCGGTCATTGCTCGAGCGAGAAGATTCAGCATCTCCCTCGACTCAAATATCTCTTGGTCTTGACTCGGTCTTGACGACTTGATCCCACTCATTGAATTGTGAGAATAATTTGATGTGACTTCGATCTCATGGTACGTCAGTCCTATCTTGCATAGGCATGATTCAAGGTCCCCCCTGTCTTTCGTCTGCCCCCTTCAAATAACAAACCCTCTAGATTTGAAGCTGTCCAAAGTTGTGGTCAATTTAATTGTAGACCTTTGAAAAAGTGGTAGTGTAATACCAATGGCGTCCCCAACGTGCAATCCAGATATCGAAGTCTTAGCTCCTCATGAGCTCCGAAGGAAAATGACAATTGCTCATCCCTATTATCAGGTTAATCATCTTAAAACCAATCCGTCTAGGATGATATGCCATTCATTATCCCAATCAAACTTATATGGACGACATCCCTGTCTTAACGCGGTAAGGCCGTGCTTCGTATTCGCTTCTCGTCTTTCAACCCCTTTATATTGTTTCCATTATCGAATGGCATTCTATTTACAACCGGTACAGGTTCTTCGACTCAATTCATAAGTATCTTCTCATTGGTGTTTTCTTGCGTTCCTGAAATCTTCCTTCTTTTATATTCATCTGCTATGAGTTCAACAACGACTTCTATTAACACCCAACCCAAGAGATTCTATAACACACTCATTAGCACAGTCATCAGCACAATCATCAACACACCCCCTTCCTATCATTCTTCAACTTTATGAATTCTTTCTCTCTGGAACTCAAGACTCCGAATTGTGTAGGTATATTTAATATCGTACATGTCATTTTTTCACAATAATTAATTCTCTCAATACGTGTCTACAATATCTAGGGCAATTTAAACGATTGTGATATTTAGATATTTACAGGGTATGTTTATAGAATTTCGACTCTATTTCTCACAGAGCGAGCAGATCTAGGATACACTTTTGCAATAACAAGTTAAGTTCACCTTTTCAAATTTTGAGTCGATATGTGATCATTAGATTTTAGCCGTGCTAGGTATTCATCTACCTACCTTTTGAAATTTGAGTGCTTGTTATTTGGAGGATACATGATGTCATTATCTTGAGGGAAAGAGTGGGGACTGAGGTTTCTTGACAGATTGCAGATCGTTAGAGTGTGAGTTTGAGGTTAGTTTAGAGGTGGTTGGGTTGGCTAAAGACTAAAGATAGTCGGTGTTATAGGTAGAGGACACTTAATGGCATTTCTAGATATGGAGAAGATTTTGATCTGTCGATCCTCTGGATTGGGTAAGATTTGGATGGCAGGTGAGAGTTAGATTTATTGAAGTGGGAAACTGTGAGATTGCGTGATTGGATTTTGAGATGGGATGGGATGGGATGGGATGGTTGGTGAGTGAGCTAATGGGTGAGCTAATGGATGGGGAAGTTTGGATCGGGTGTTAGGGTTTTTGATGGGGAGTTTTTCTTTTTTTTTTTTTTTTTGCTTGGTGGTTGTGTGGGGGGAGGAAAGGAAGGAATTCTTTGTTGAGTTGAGTCATTGATAGGAATGGCTTGGTTTATGGGCTAGGTGCTTGGTGTGTATTTGTATATCTATCTATATTAGGTACCTAGATAGACATTATATTTTTAAATTTGTAGGAAAGGTAGGAAAGATAGGAAAAATCTTGCAAATGACGTGTGCATGAAAAAGTTTGATGAATAGGTAAGCAAATGAATGCCGACTGGAATAGTTCGTAATGAGTAAGAAAGAAATTCGAAAGCTGGATCCGAGTCCGAAGGATGGGAATTGGGAATTGGAAATTGGAAGTAGGAAGTCGGAAGTGAAATTGCCTATCTAGGTAATAAATGTCAAATTTATGATACATGATGTTTAGGATGAGATATTGATCCATATAGATGATTGAAGATATTTAATGTTTAGTAATTATGGGATCTTTGTATGTTCATTATGTTTTTTGGGACGAGATGAAACACTGGATATTGTAGATTATTGAATTACAGATGGAAGGGAGTGTTTCATGGATTTCCATTACCATTACTACATGAGATTTGTGAAGTTGACATTGATGATAAGTATTCAGTTGTGGATTTGGAATATCTTCTTATTCCTCTATTTACCCATCTATCCTCTCATTCATCGATTTTATATACATCAAGGATCTCAAATTGAGGAATTTCATATTGACTTTAGAAATCGCTTTATTATAAAATATGTATTTACTCATCCAGTTTTGCTATCCTGATATCTCAATAGGTACTCTACGATCTTCCCATTCGAAATCTCAATATCTCATCCTAAAATATCATCTCAACACCACATCCCTCTAACCACCCACTCTCCACTTCAAAACCAACTTTGGGACTCACCATCACAAAGTCAAGATAAACTCAATCCACTCACTCCAGATCCTCTCCATCCTCTCCATCCTCTCCATTCTCTTCATCCTCTCACCACTCTCCCCAACCCTACCTAAATACATACTCCCATCCAACCTTCCCATCTCATCCATCCACCCACCCACCTACCAATCCAAATAACCCCAATTCCATTCTCTTCTTATTATACTCAATATACAAATATACACATATTTATTCATCCATATATATATACACATATACACATATACACATATACACATATACACATATACACATATACACATATATAATAAAGAAACACATACATCCAAACACATATAACCTAGCCTCTAAATAATAAAATAGAATCCTCCACCTCTCATCTTCCTGATACTCAATACATACCTACCTACCTATCTATCTCTCACAGCGATTTATCTCTTTTTATTTTTATTTTTATTTTTATTTTTATTTTTATTTTCACTTCATTTTCACTCACTAGACTAGGTAGATAACATGTAAGATCTTACATAAAATGATTAATCAAGTAGGTGATAGTTAGTTTATACAGTATACAGTAAAAGAATATCTATCGACCTAGCATTTACTAGATTGGGTATTCATCCATTTATCCCTCCGTCTACTCATCCATCTACCCCTCCATCTATCCCACTCCTTTTCTTTCCATCCCTTTCCTCACTCCTCACTCCTCATCAATCCATCTACTCACCCATCTACTCACCCATCTACTCACCCACAGCTACCAAACCCCCAACCCACCCTCCTTCGCAAAACCACGCACCAATCTGAATCAACACTACAAATACCAAAATAGATTCTAGTTACCGTTTGTCAAGTACGCGATACCGACAATGGAATGAGATTTAGATATGGAGAATTGATGGATTGTCTAGATTATGTATACTCGATGTGATACTGGACTTACATATGGATAAATCTTGTTATGCAAAACGCTTTGAAGAGAAGAGTTAACTTCCAAGGTTTGGTAGACACTGGAGCTGATATAGTGCACTAGCTGCGAGGGAACAATTCTCTTACCTATTGCCACGGTAACATCGATTAAGGGTGCTAATACCGAGACGACAATGGACCCTGAGAGATAAGTTGGAGCTGAAAAATGTCACGACGAGAAGGAACGTCGCAATCCCCAAAATAAGACACCGAAAATCACGGACCCAACCATTTCATTCCCAGTAAATACTAGGTAAAATGCTTACATCGTGACAATAATAAGTACTAACGATCCCGGCATCTGTCAATACGATACCTACTAGGTAGTATACACATAGACGCGAAGCACAGCACAACAAAGCAAAGCAAAGCCGCAAAACGAATTCCAAGTTTGAGCACACGACATCATCGTTCACCGCACAGATCACCACATTCTCCAAGCTGCTGCTGATCGCGCGAGGATCTCCTGTTCCAGAGGGTGAAAGGACGGCTCGCGGCGAGCTCTAGAGTTTCCTACGATCATCAATTCCCGAGTCAAGGCTTGTCGTTGATGATGATTTTTGATGAGGGGTGCTCCACTCTTCCTGTTTCATGGCGGTTGGAAAAGTAAGTGGGCATCGAACTGTGAATTTTGTCGAGTCGAAATTGCGACTGTGCAGGTTGACTGACGGGTTTTCGAATTATCGCCGATGTTCTGGAATTGTGTTGACGTACTTCAATTCATGTGATGAGGGACCTCAGATTCATCGATTCGTCATCCTCATATCATTTGCAATTGCGAACCAAAGAGAGATTCTTCAACGCATCACATGATCAAAAAGGGTACCGGCGAGAAAGAATAAGTGATGTAAGAGAACATGGTATATGTGAAAGTTGGAAATGCTACAATGAATACCTACCTATCGGAACATTTTCTTCTCTTGGATATCCATGGTGGTAATATTGATCGCGGCTTCTTATCATTTCAGCCTTTTGACAACGGGATCTCTAGATAGTGATTCCGATTGGGTAGTGTGATGAACATCCAACTATTGAACCTGTTGGGATCTGGAAGGGTATTGAGAATACGATGAACTGACTCCATTTGCCATCATTGGAAGATTTGATTGACTCAAGTCAGATTGCTGAAAGTCTCATTTGACGGGATTGACATGTCTAGAAGCAAGCAATTCATCCGGGTAGCATATTGCTTTTTTAACATGTTTTGAAGGATTGCGCTTCCAATTAAATAATATAAATAGCATCTCCAGACAATTGGAGTCTTCGGACCCGATCTACCAATGTCTTGAAAAATGATGGGTGTGTTTTGATTATCCAAGAATCAGTAATCGAATTGGAAATGAGCATTCCCTTTACTTCCTCGCAATCGATGATTTCGTGTGAGTAAAGGAAAGATTCAATATTGAAAAACGAAGTGACTGGGTCGGGGAAAATAGGGGACCAGAAGCACACATCGTATCGTTGCGAACAGACCACATCATGTCCCTTTAGTATATGAAAGTTTGATCATCATGTCGGTTCGCCCCGCAGCCAATATTAACTGGATTGAGTATGATGGATCCTTTTTGAAAAAGGGGTTCGTGATCCAGGTCGAATCATATCTTTGCGGTGAGGCGTGGTAGTTCCTTCTGTGACGTTTCATTGGTCTTGTTTTAGGAAACAATGTCAAGAGATATGCGTGGGCCTCGAACATTTTGGATCGTTCTTTGGGTGATTTTGTTTTCTTTCTGGAATTGGGAAATTGTTTGGTACTGGAACTTGGAGATGATTTATTCCGAAATGAGGATGTCGGTTCTTCGTATTCTAGAAGGTAAAGAAAACCGGCAGAGTGGATTGTGTACAGGATTGTGTACAGGAACTAAGAAGTGACATTTTGAGGGGGAAGGGGAGGGGAGGGGATATTGAGCTTGTATAATTTGTAAGACGTGGGACGGTGAGATGGGGGATTTGAGTTTTAGGGAACATGAGTTGGAGGTTGGAGGTGCAGGTAGAAGAAGGGTGATGGTGATTGTGATTGTGATTGTGATACTTGGAGTTGTGTATCTAGATGGGACGTTGAGTAGTTTTTGATATATGAGTAGTTGATATAAAGAAAACATTGAGTGATGGTGCTGAGTAATGAGTAAGATTGAACAGCGTTCGTTGCTATAGAGATTCAGAATATTCAATTATATTCAACTAATTTGATTTGATTTGATTTGATTTGTTTTGATTTGTTTTGACTTTACGAGTATATACAGGACTGAGTAGTGATAAAATAACTTTTTCTGTTTAATGTATGTTGTGGGCGTACAACTCCCCTGCTCTAATTCCAATAGATTGTAATTGGATAAACTCTATACCCAATCCGGAAAATACGAATGATGTTGGAGGGGAGCACCAGAGGAAAAAGGAAAAGAAAGGAAAAAGAAGGCGATGAAGTCGAGGGACAAAGTCGACGGATTCTGCGCCTTCCACGAAATCTCCCCAAAGATGTATGGAGGAGTGGGTATGGATACTTTTGATTAATCTATCAAGATTGAATACCCCATTTGGGCAATTTGGTACGGAAGTATTTCATGGTGGAATCCACGAACTCCACTTCCCGGTAATTGTCTCTCATCCATGACTTGCATCTCAGGAGCATCTCGAAGGACATCTTTCTGGGTGTTGGTACGAATAATTACTAGACTCCCTGGTAAGTACTCCATACGGTACTCCCATTTCATATTACCGTTACCGAATCACGAAAATGTATCGAATCATGATATGATACATCTGATCTAATGATAGGTCGATGGATTGATTGACTTTGGATTGCCTCTGGATGTGCTCCGGATGTGCTCCGGATTTGTATTGTATATATTTGCATATGTAAACACCTAGGTATACGTATATATATATATACACATAAATATACGTGTATATAGAAAAGGCTATTCTCGAATCTTTCCACCCAAGTACATACATGGAGATATAACGAATGATATGAATTCATCTAGGTCCTCCGTACAGCTTCTCATGTATATCACCATAGTATATGAGATATAAATCTGCAGAGATCAACATGAACCAACTGCAGGAAGCGCACCATCACTGCAGAAACCTGTTCCACATGAACCAATGAACACTCGATGATGCATGGATGGATAGAATTGTGATCATTTTTTTTATTTCATTTTGATAGTGATGGTATTAGTGTTTTACATGGAAATGTACGGAGTACTCCTACGGCGTACGCAGAATGGACTTCTGTCACCGGTCAGTGGTGATTGTAGAGTAATATGTAAGATATATTTGGGGGGTTAAATTAATGCGACTCGACTCTTGAAATGTTATATGTATACCACCTGGTAGGTATATGAATGTATATGGCCCAGGGTCCAATATATCTAATGTCCACGGCTTCATTCAACCCACCAACTAACTACCTACCTACTACCTCCCTACCTACCCAATACCTCAAGATATCATGCTTCACAACATTCCATTCCATTTCAAACCCAACATAATCGATAATCGGAACCAGCCCAAGATTCCATTCCATGTCCGTACCACATTCAAATCCCAAGCCAATCGATTTCGGTTCCTTACCTTTGGTTTGATGGAGTACAGACCCGAGAAATGCCCTAAAGTCTTTTCTTGTCCTGCCCTTTTCGATCTTCTTCCCTCCGTTCATCTGTTCATCTTATCTTAATCGGGTATTGGATGCACATATATTGATCAAACTGATGGGGGTCACGGGATGAATGAATGAGTAATGGCAAGGAAAGTTTAAAATAGAAAAAATCAAAAGGAATTTAAACATTCTCTAGTATCTTTAGTATCTTTAGTCAAGAAATTCGAATGGCTTATGTTGTTGGTTCGATCTAAGAGGTGTGATACTAGCCAGAACTAATGACGAAAGTCACTACTTCTTAAGTCGGTACACTATGATATCGGTCGGTATGTATGGTAGAGGGAGAGAGAGATGGAGAAAAAGGAAATGGAAAAGTATATTTATGGATGATGGTATTGTTATGATCATTGAATCAGGTATTTCGATTTGCCCTATCTATTCGAGAGAAACCAAACACTGCTTCATTTCCCGTCCAAATCCAAGTCCACGTTCCAGTCCAAAGCAATTCTTCATTTATTGCCCCGCTCACAAAATAACATATCAAAAGAAAATATCCCGAAAAGAGTCTTGTTTCTATTTAGATTGTACTATTAAACAAAACAAAACCATTGAATTCTATCTAGGTATTTATCTCTCTCTCTCTCTCTCTCTCTACCTACCTACCCACCTACCCACCCACCTACCCAGTATCTCCCACCTCAACTCGAAACGGTTTTCATTATCTATCCCCTTTCCTCTTCCCCATCCCCTCCCCCTTCCCCTTCAATTTTATGATGATTGGAAGCGAATCTCCCTAGGTATGTACTATGTATCTATGTATCTATGAATGATATATGTACATCTGTACATCTGTATATCGGTATCGGTATCTGTCTGTGTGTGCCTGTGTCTACCTTATACTATAAAAGTCGTAGGTGCTAGGTAGAGTGCCCAGTAATCTAAACTAACCTTATTCCAGATTAGCTTCATTAAGGAGTCACTTTCTGGCTTCTCTTCCCAGGTTTAATAAAATCATTAAAGCAGATTTCTCCCCTTCCATCATTTCATCACCTCGAAGAAAGTCTCTCCTCTCTCTCTCCTTCCATTCTTCATTCTTCCTCGATTCTCCTCCAACCAACCGGCGTCAAGTATTAAAGTCTTCTTATAATACTTGTTACTTGTGCTCTATTCGAAGTCGATTCTCTTTTCTTCAAATCTAATGTCAAAGTCGTCACTTTATCTATCCTTCTTTCTACAATAACCATCCATAGGTCAATTTCACAATCTCACACTCTCCCAATTAACTTCTGGTCGCAATCTCCCCACAGCAAGGAGAACGAACACACACCCCCCCCCAGTACAAAATACCTATCGTCAGAATTATTATTCAACCACCCACATCAAAAATAATTTAAAAACAACCACCACATAAATATCTTTAAAAACTCGAGCAACAAACGTCAGAGATCTTACACACTTATCCCGCGAACAGAGACTCGTCTCGATTTGGTGTGAGAAATCATCACCTGACAGTGCTTTTTTTCGCTCAAAATCTTTGGGGGTACTATTGTGCGAACACTTCGGACTAAAGCTTTGACAAGCGTGCCCACCGGCTCCTTGCATCACAACAAACTTTTCTTTTCTCTTTCTTGACATCAAGACTATCTGCCTCTCATGATGAGTCAACAGTATTCCGAGATGTTCCAGGATTACCCTCCAAATCGATCGCCAGCGTCAAGTCGAGGAGCTTATGGCAATATGACGCTTAATCGCCAATCATCGCGACAATTTATGGACAATTATCAAGCACCTCTTCAGAATGGAGGAGGACTGTACGCTTCCGACGACGCATCACAATACAACGCAAATCAAGCCGGCTATAGAGGTCCTTCCAGCAACGTGAATTATGCCTACGAGAGTCAGACTTGGAACTATGGAGGTGCGAATGGAGCTAGCACAATGGGCACAGCAGGCCGCATGAGACCTCAACAACAACAAGCTCGCAGAGCTGAAATCCCATCTGTATGTTACCCCTATGTTATTTACGAATTGAATTTTGCGCGCCTCTCGAAATGAAACTGACATTTGGTAGGGTTGGATGAATCCAGGTACTCCATCTCTCGGCGGTCCAATCACTCAAACATCCTTACAACAGCATAACTTGTCTGGCATGTTTGAACAACCTCAACATTCCCATCGCTCACCCCCACCACCAAATCAGCAAAGCGATCACGAAGAGCTAATCCCAACCGCTATCGTCATCAAAAATATTCCTTTTGCTGTGAAGAAAGAACAACTAACAGAAATGATGTCTAACATGGGATTGCCATTACCATATGCCTTTAATTATCACTTCGATAATGGTGTTTTCAGGGGTTTAGCATTCGCTAACTTTACTGATGCTCGCGAAACGCAACAAGTCATCGATGCCTTGAACCACATGGACTTGCAAGGACGAAAGCTCCGAGTAGAGTACAAGAAGATGCTTCCAGCTGCAGAGCGCGATCGAATCGAACGCGATAAGAGAGAAAGACGCGGCCAACTTGAAGAGCAACACCGCGCACCAAATGTCATCTCCACAGGCTCCCTTCATACCGCAGGATCTATGACTTCCATGAATTCCGGCTTGAGAACTACATCTCCTTCACCTGTAAACATGCGTCAGAATGTTGCCGCCACCAATGGTACCGCTGGTGAGTGCTGATTTCTCTTTTTCTCGCGCACAAAACTACTGAACTAACCTTCTTGCAGCAGAGTACGATTTGAATGATCCAACAACATTGAACTATTACACCGAGCTACTCTTCTTCAAACAAGACGCCGAAAGAGAAGTTTTAACATTCGCGCCTACAGTTTCTCCTGCCGATCGAAGGATAATCCACACCTTGGCTCACAACATGGGATTGGACCACCACTCCCAAGGACATGGCGAACTTCGTCAAGTACAAATTGTCAAGCCTAAGCTTGCCAGTCCACCTTTGAACTCAATTCAAGCCGGATACTATAACGAATCCCAACGTCGTGGACTCAACCGAGCTGCAACAATCGATTTCAGTGAGCAGCGAGCCAATGACGCTGCCTACCAGATGCATACTCTCGGCCGACAAGGTTCCGGTCTTCTGGATATCCCAGGTTCTCCAGGGGTACGTGACCTGCTCAGTGGTGATCGTAATTTACGAACCGCCAAATCGTTTGCGGACTTGCGCTCATACACGCCATCACCTGTACCATCGTCGGCGAGCTTCCCAGCTAATATGACCCAGAATATCGCCAGATTCCAAGGCAACGATTATGGTCTCGGATCAGTTACAGGTGGAACCCCTAACTTGACTCCTACGTCTGCAGGACCCTTGGGTCTCAGAGAGGATGCGTTCCTTGCCAATGGCATGAGCAACATGTCACTTGGATATGATCGTCAACCCCGTTCGAATGCGCCCGGTCGCATTGGTCAAGAAAGAGATAGCTACACATCAAATGCTGGTCCTATTGGAAGCCAGCGTCCAGTCAATGGAAGCCTTGAAGATAGCAGCTCCAGAAATGGACAAAGTGCAGTTCCAGAGAGACAACCAAGAGGCCCTACTAGTGATCAATGGGGATCAGGATTTTCTCGCAACAGACAAAATGGCCATGGTAGCAAAAGCAGTGATGGTAAGTCGTGATGATCAATCCTGAGAATTTCTAGCTAACCAAATGTCAGATTCATCTGAGCGCAACGGATTCACCTCCGCATCTCGGTTCATGTAATACTCCTCAAGAGATTTACGACGTTACGAACATTAGAGCTATTGACGTGATCTATTACCACTTATTATAACGTCAAATCACGGGCAGCGGCGTTTAGTTGTCATCCCTCTTCCCTCGGCGGAAACACGTTCTCTTCCATGCGGTCTTTTTCGGGGCTTCTGATTTGCCTATCAACAGGCTCGTCAAGCTCGGCTCTTGTTACTGTAATTACACTTGTGACCTTGATCTCCCATTTGGGAGCCCCGGGGCTCTAGATCTATTCTTGCTCGCGGTATATACAAATTTTGCTTAATACTATCACCGATTGGCTTCCGCGAACGACGACATATTACGAATCAACTAGGATACCATTAAATCGACTGGGCAACCTTGACGATAACGCTACTATGACCTCCTTTCGGTATCCATCAAAACTAGGATCCGGATTATTTTAACGTCTTTGGACAATGAATCCGATAATAATAGGGGCTCGCCACACCCCTTTTCTACCCACGATTGACGACCGTAACGTCCTGTCATGCTATAAAATTATAAAAATTACCTTGGTCTGATATTCCAGATATCGACATCAACCAACATCTATGTTTACTCGCTGGTTCTCGAGTTGAATTCACAGGGCTGATTGAGGAATACGAAAATCCATTGTATTTTAATTGTTTGCTGCTCCTCTAGGTCATCGAAGTTGGAAAATTCTTGTACTGTTGTTGCTGGGAATATTGATTCCAGAAGGGGGGTTTGAAGGCCATGGATATGTGCATGTTTGATTTCAGGGTGTATTGGGTTCTGACTCTTATTGGATGAGACACGGAGTAGGACTTCAATGCACCCTTTTGCGCTTGAATTTGTGCTGCAACTGATATTATCATGTTATCACGGCGTCTGGTGGCGGGGAAATAATAGGATATAGGGAAAACAATCACTCATCGCCTACTCTGTCTTATTATCATATGTTTCGTGACCATGCGTGATTCTCTACTTGACATCTTCCTGTCCTAAGTTGTTCTATCGACCAAATTGTAACTATCCCCTTAACAAAATACCTACCTAGATCCCGATTGTTTACTGATTGTTTACTGTCCTTCACCGCTATTTCGATACCACTCGGGCCGGGACTTCCGCTCCGTACGGAAGGTTACTTTGCATCCGAGCCTCTTAGCTTGATATACCTACAGATGTTGAACCGCAGAAGTTGAAACATTTCCACGTGGTTCAAGGATGTTATCGGTGATAGATGGGAATTGGTACATCAGTATCGTTGAACGCTTGAGATATGAATTCTAGAGAGAGCGATAGTGCAGATTGGGGAATACTCTGTTGATTGGATGTGATGAGATGTGCTTCAAGAATCAGGTTGGGGAACGAATCTAGAATGAAAGTTGAAGTGAGGATAGGCAGATGGTTGGTTGAACTGTTGACATGAATCTTGATTGGCTGTTGGAGCTCATTGGCAGTTGAGGTTTCTTATCCAATCCAATGTCATGCCTTGATGTGAGGATTATGTAAGCTTAAGCTCACCCTAGCTCCATTGAAATTCAATCAGAAGTCAAATAATTGATCGACGTCTTTCCATCGCAGCCAACACATCTCACAAGGCCTCATTAATTTGTCGGACTTGCTCCTTTGTGCAACTCAACATGTCGTCACTCTACAATCTCGAACCTCAACCTACTGCATCATGCATTTTACACACCACCTCTGGCGATATCTCTCTCGAGCTCTGGGCGCAACAAATTCCTCTCGCGTCTCGTAATTTTCTGCAACATTGCCTCGACGGCTATTACGATAATACGGTATTTCATCGACTTGTGCCGGGCTTTATTCTACAGGGTGGTGATCCTACCGGTACTGGATCTGGTGGAGAATCGATTTACGATGGCGGCGAATTTTCTGAAGAGAATGGCATATGGCCGATGGAGGAGCGGAAAGGTCAAAATGCGGGACCGAGAGGAGTGGGCTTCAAGGACGAGTTTCACAGCAGGATAAAATATAATAGGAGAGGATTGTTGGGGATGGCTAATGAAGGGAAAGACACGAATGGGAGTCAGTTCTTCTTGACTTTAGGGGATACGCCTGAGTTGATGGGGAAGAATACGTTGTTTGGTAGGGTGGAGGGAGAGACGATATATAATTTGGCGAGGATGGGGGAGGCGGAGTGTGGAGAGGGAGAGCGACCATTGTATCCTACGAAGATTACGGGGGTGGAGGTGTTGGTTAACCCGTTTAAGGATATGGTTAGGAGAGAGAGGGTTGCGAAAATTGCGGTTCCCGAGAAGAAGGCTCCAGAAAAGAAAAAGAAGAGGAAGGCTGGGAAACAGTTGTTAAGTTTTGGGGATGAGGGGGAGGAAGGTGTCGAACAACCAGTTGTTAAGAAAAAGGCGAAATTCGATACGAGGATTGTAATGGACGATGGAACTGCAGATAATGCGCCGGAACCAGAACCCAAGGCTAAATTCATACCAAAAAAGAAAGCGCCCAAAGCACGATCATCTGAATCTCCTCAATCATCACCAGAACCCGAAGCAAGAGCACCTCCCAAACCGTTGCCCAATAGAGCCGCAAAACTCGAACGAGATATTTCTTCCTCTCCAGAGCCTCAAGTTCAAAAGGTTACCTCTTTGCTAGATCGCACAAATGCGCAAATAGCGGAACTAAAAGCGTCTATGAAGCGGAATGTTCAAACAGCTCCCGAGCCGGAGAAGAAGAAATCAGCTTTGGAAGCCATGATTCCTGCAACATCCGTTCGTGGACGAAAGCGCAACGCAAATGGAAAGTCAAATGCTAGTAACGATCAAGCAGCTCTAGATATCTTGCGAGCATTTCGGGAGAAACTGGAAACTGCACCACCTGAAAAGGAAGTGGCTAAGCCTGCCTCACATGACGAAGCTGAATCCAAACAGGAGGAAAATGGAACCGTTGATGATGAAGAAGCTGCATTGTGTGATTTACACTTTATTGCAAATTGTCAGTCCTGTAGATCATGGGAAGCGCAAGGGGAAGAAGAAGAGGAAGAAGATTTTAATGACAAAGGGTGGATGTCTCACGCGTTGAGTTTCAAGGAAGACAAATTAGGCAAGGATCTCAGTTATAGGAAGAAAGCCGAAGAAGAACTGGTGGTTATTGATCCTAGAGAGAAAGCTAAATCGCTGAGGGAGGAAATGAAGGCGAAAAGAGAAGCGAAAGCTGGAGGTTCGACGGGTAGAGAATGGGATATCAAGCGGAACGAGAAATTAACGAGAGGGTCGGCTTTGGCTGGGAGAGGAGCTAAGTAGGAAATATGTATGGTAATGGTGATGAGGAAGTGTGATGAATGGTTCACATGACGGAATGGTCTCAAATGACATAAAGAAGGAAGATCTTTCTGGTCATGATTCTAGAAGCTAAATTGACGCTTCAGTGGTGTCTTCCAAAGTGATGCAGATGATGCGACGGTGAACAATAAAGATGATGAAATAGGCGATTTATGGAAAGAGGATGAATTAGAAAGGTAAAGAAGAGAGAGGATGGAAGGGACCTGGATCTCTTGGCAGTCCGTAGGACTACCGCTGGGGTGGCAGTCTATAAGGATAGATAGCATTGAAGTAGGAAGTTCTCAAAGCAAATTATTTGGAACCACATTTCAGATTTCAAAGAAAGGTTTCGAGCGTAGCGAGCTAAGGGGGTTTGGGGGCTTGCCCCCATTTACAGGGGTTTAGATGGGAGATGGTTGGGTAGAAATGGAAATGGAGATGTAAGTGATTTTGAAGACGTGTGTTTTCTGTTCTGGATGGATGACTTTCTTTGGATGGGTTTTATGTGGATAATGTGGCTAGGTATGTATGTATAATAGGATATGTATGATAGGTATCAATAGTATGTATGGTATTGAGAATTGAGAATTGGCTAGGTGAAAGTGTATTTTTGAGATGTTGTGGTTTTGGATTGGATTGGATTGGATTGGGAACTCCGGACTCCTTGTGTGTTGTGTGTTGGGGAAGGGGGGTGATGAATGGATTGTTGTTTATTTGAGAGGAGAGATGTTGAGGGGTGGGAGAGATAGGAGAGATGAAAATTTTTGGTGGGTAGATGGATAGATAGATGGATAGGTATTGTTATTATTGCTGTTGATGTATTCTATTTCATACTCTCTCTGCGATGTAATGTGAAGAAAAATAAATATATTTCTGTAAGATAGATACTGTAGTTGGATGATAGAATGAATGATTGAATGATTGAATGTCACCTAGGTACGGAGTAGGTAGATAGATAGTAGATAGATAAGGTTAGATATCCATCAAGCTACCGAGCTCGCGACCGACGGAATATTCCGAATACCAAACTACTAAACCTGCAAGATTAAACGAAAATGAATGTTTGGTTGTGGATTACTGGGTAGGTACTAGGTAGGTAGGTAGGTAGGTAGGTAGGTATATATCTCTTTTTCGAATTGGAGTTTGGAGTGGGATTTGAGATTTGAGATTTGAGATTGAGGGTTTGGGTTCTTTGGGATTTTTATGATGGGAGTTTTGGTTTTGATTTAGGATAGGATAGGATAGGAGATGGATGGATGGTAGTGAGGATTTGGAGGTGTAGAGTTTTGGTTGATTGTGAGCTGGCTAGGTTAACTACTCTGTAGATAGATATCTGCTAGTGTTATTAGGCTTATAAGTTATTTTATTTATTTATTATACGTACTGAGTACGTACCAGGGAGGTAGGTATCTCCTTCTTCTACCAGTTCCTCTTCCCTGTCAGACCCACTGAGCTAGTAATAAATATTATCTAATTAAAAGAATGAAAAATGAAAACTTTGAAAAGTCGATGATTTTCTGTGATGATTTTCAGTGATGCACTAGCGATTTATCGATCAGAGGATTGAGAGCGGAGCTTTGGCTGATAAGATTAAGGTTGGTGAGAGACCGGGAGTGGAGAGAGGAATGGTCAGCCTTGTTATTAGTCAGCATTGTCATCATCGATGAAAGCTGGGGTGGGTGAAATTTCTGAAGAACGTATACTCCGGAGATGCGGATTCGTAGGGGAATGTGTGTATGTTTATGTATGGGAAGTTTTATATATTGTAATATCATGGACTGTTTGTGAGTATATAAAGAGAGAGAGGTATGAAGTTAAAACATCCATCAATTGATTATCATCATATTTACACTTGATAATCTGATCCATCTACCCACCTACAGTAGTACCTCTTCCATCTACCTAGGTACCTAGGTACATTTCCTCTCAATGAAAAACACATCTATCAAACATTAGACATTACCTAGATACTAGATAGACAGAGATAATTTATACGGAAAATAATTTATATTTATATATAATTTAAATCTCATAAAAAGATGTCTTCAATTCCCATTCACCTGAGATCTCTCTCTTTCTCTTTCCACAAATACTCCATCTAGATCTAGATAATCAAAAACGTTTCAATTCCCATCCAAAAAAGAACAATAAACTTCAAGTTCAAGAAGAATTCCTCCCCCTTCCCAAAACACACAACGAAGAGGAATATCAACTCTATCAACTTGCATCATACATAACCCCACTACCTATTTCCACCCCCTTCAACCTTTGTTTGGAACAATAACTTATTCTAAGAATCATCTCAACACATCTACCATTGACTCATATCTTCCGTCCATACCTTTGATCCGCCATCATCATTTATAGATACCTTCAATCCTTCCTGCACAATTCCATCAAACTCATCGCGCCGAGCCTCTACCAGAATCTCCCGCGACAATCGCAAAAAAATTAAAGGCAAACATTTTCCAGCATAGAGTAAACCATTTATCTTCGAGTTTGGCGTCGCACATCTATCCTCTGCTTGAAGTCGCTAGGGAGGCTGCAGGTAGCCTCGACTTTGGACCCGTGAATCGTTTGCTACGGCACCACAATACAGCTGCACAATTTCCACTTCTACATAACAGCTCACACTTCGACCTTCACTTCCCCCTTCACTTCCCCCTTCCATCTACTTCTACAACGACACCTACACATCTCGTAGAAGATCACTTCCACGCCCATCCCGGATACACACCTCATCGAATGTATTCTCCTCATATGTCTTCCACCAATCCCCGAAAAAGAGCTGCACCGGGAGCCTCGTCTGCTATTCAAACACCGCAGATGCAACAAACATATAATGCAGGTACCCAGCTACCCAGTGCCGAATTCTTGCGCTGGAATCAAAACTCTGAATCTCAGAATTTCGCAGATCCAACCACGAGCAATTATATGAATATGTTTGGAGCAAATCCCGGTCTACCGCAAACGACCACTGGTTTCGACCATTCCCTTGCCGCGCAAACTCATTCCACACAATTGGCTCGTCGACCGAATGTCAATAACAATCGCCAACTTGTTGCGCCGCGGACGTACGACGGTTCGGGTGATGCTTGGGGAGCTTTTGACGATTCGATGATGGATTTACAGAATGGGCACGGGGTGAATGGGGAAAATGATGATATTGAAGCGTTGGAGGAAAAGGCGGCTATTGCCAAGAGAGATGCTCAGTCAAAGAGAAAACAGATCCCACCATTTGTGCAGAAGCTAAGCAGGTAAGCGCTTCCTCTTTTGCGAGCTTCGATTGAGATTGTTTGCGCTGACTTTCTTCCTTGATAGCTTTCTTGACGAATCCAAGAATACGGAACTTATACGATGGTCTGATCGAGGTGATTCGTTTGTGGTGTTGGATGAGGATGAGTTTGCGAAAACGTTGATTCCGGAATTGTTTAAGCATAATAATTATGCCTCTTTCGTGCGACAACTCAACATGTATGGTTTCCACAAGAGAGTAGGACTTTCCGATAATTCGATGAAGGCTAGTGAGAGGAAAAACAAGAGCCCGAGTGAATATTACAATCCTTACTTCAAGCGTGGACATCCAAATCTTCTCTGGCTCATTAATAAACCGAAGGGTGGAACGAATAAGATTCGAAAGGAGGGAGGACCTAGGAGAGGGAAAGCTGAGGAGATGGGAGATGGAGATAGTGATGATGAAGCAAGAGATATTGAAGAATTTGGTCAAAATAATTATACCAACAATGCAGCCACCAATCGAGCGATATCAGCCGCGCCAGAATCTGGACCCTTACAACGACGAGAAATTGCAGTTGTTCAGGGTCAGATCTCTGATATTCAAAAACAACAGAACACCATCTCACAAGCGATTGCACGTCTGAGAAAGGATCATAATCAACTCTATCAACAAGCTATGGCTTTCCAAAATCTTCACGAACGTCATGAGAGTTCAATCAATGCTATTCTCACATTTCTTGCTACGGTCTACAACAGAAGTTTGGATGGACAGGGAGCTGAAAATATTACTCGGATGTTTCAAACTGGGTTAAATCAACAAGGTCCACATCAACAACAAGGCAATGTTGTGGATATTGGTGACCTTGGAACTCCTCAGCAGCAACCAGCGGCTGGGAGTGTTAGTCCGGTTGTTCGCAAAACACAAAAGTTATTGACAGCAGGACCACCGGAACGAGAAAGTAGTCGGGTTACTGAAGCTTCAACGGCTGCTTCGAGTCCAAGAAATCAATATTCTACTCCACGTTCTGGAACAGTTGAAGAACTTTTCGAATCTCCTAGTGATAGTACGACAACGAAGACCGAACCGCAAAGAGATATGTTGAATATTATTCAAAACGCCAACTCACAAAGTCGACCGGAGAATAATGTTATGGACTTTCCGGATATGCTCACACATTACGAAAATGCAAATGGAAATTCCCCGCTGACCTCGGAACAGCGCAGCAATATGCTTAATATCATTGCTAGCACTTCGTCGGCTCCAGGTTCTAACAATGCACTTGTAAGCCCGGCACCTCAAGCTCCTGATCTAGCGCAAATGGCCTATACGCAAGCTGAGATTGAAAACTTGATGGGATTACAACAACAGCAAAGTGATCGTATTGCAAGTCTTTCCGCAAATCTTACGCCTCTCAGTCCTTCGGGTTCTATTCCTGGTGTTCAAGGCGACTCGTATTTTAATGGTGCTGAATCCATTGACCCTCAGCATTCACATCTGGATTTAGATAAATTTTTTCGATTCCCAGCTTTTATAGTGGAGGGAGTCCGGGCAATCCGAGTTTTAACTTTGATGATTTTGGCAATGGAGTTGATGGAAGTGGGTATGGTGGTGGAGAAAGTCATTTTGATGTTGGTATGGATGGTGTGAATGATGGGAGTGTGAATGGTACCGGCTCGAGTGGGAATGGAGCGAGTAGGATTGTCGAGACGGTGGCGAGTAGTGAGTCGACGAGTCCGGCGGATGATGGGATGGGAGATGGCAATGGGAATTCGAATGGAAATAGTAATGAGAATGACAACGCGAGTAATAAGCGGAGGCGGAAGATTTGAGGATGGGAGATGGAGTGGGTGGGAGATAGTGCAAAATGCGAAAATTATGGGATAAGATGTTAAGGCTGGTGTCAAGGGGCGTTTTTCTTTCCATGGAAATGGCTATGGAAATGGAGTAGTTTAGGTGGAATGGATGGGTGGATACTCTGAGAGGATTGATAGTTGTGGGGGGATATTATGTTGGTCGATTTTTACCTCTTTAGACTTCCGGCTCGTGGAGTTTCTTTCTGTTTAGTCTATTTCTCTGTCGAGGTGAAATGGAATGAATGGATGGAGTGATAGTACATGAGAGAGGAGCAGGAGCAGGAGCAGGAGCAAGGAAAAAAGAAAAAGTAAAGGGGAGAAAAATTCATGTTCATATTCATATTCATATTCATATCGTACTTGTGAGGATTGAAGATGGGGATGTATGTGGGTGGTGGATATTTGAATTTGAACTAGGTATGCTGAAGGGAAGATGGGATACTGTTGGTATGCTAGTTAGTGGTGATGGTGGTTGATGTTGGTGGTGGGGGAGGGGGGGGGAGTTTCTTTTCCGATTCATTTCCGTTAGGGAGAGATGGGATAGGCATAGTGGCATAGTCATAGTCATAGTCATAGCATACATGCATGGCGTTTCTAACCTTTTCGCAAGCTTACGGTTGACTTTTGAACCAATTTTTCAGATTTTTTTGTTGATTGTCGTGTGCTTGTTTGTCCGTGTCTTGTCTTGTATTTTGGGTTTGGTATATTCTAGTTATAGGGTTGATGGGGTGGGATGGATGGATGGATGGATGGGTTGAGTAAGTGATAGCTGGAGAGGAGGGGTTGCTGTATAGAGGTTGTAAAGCTACATGCATATGTATCTAGTAAGAAGAGAGTAAGAAAGCAAGAAATTAAGGAAGTAAGAAAGAAAGAGAGTAAAGAAGAAAGCAAAAAGCAAGTCAGTCAGTGAGTACAATTATCTATCCTATCTATATCAATATGAATTGATATTGATATTGGATTGGTATTGGATTGATTATTATCATGGAGAAAATTAGCAACCAATAATGTTGTATCCAAAGGATACTAGATAGAATGATTTAAATAGATGTGTGTGTATGCTGATGTGTGTATGTGTTGATGGATGTGGGATAGATGTGAGTGGGACACGATTGAATGGGGAAGGGAGGGAGAGTTTTTGGTATGTGTAGGTATGTGTATATATTGAAGAGGAGAGGAATGTTGATTTGCGGATTTTGTGTCTGGGGGATGAAGGAGGGGTTTGATGGGAGATGAATACTTTGAGATTTGAGGTTTAAGTTCGAGTAAAATAGCTGTTGTTTAGTGCTCGTAGTGGATGGTGGATTGTTTGAGTTGTATTCGAGGTTTGTGGTGTGAATATGTATGTGTACCTATGTATACCAAATCATCGTGGTCGAACATCGCTTGAGAGATAGGAGGAGAGTAGAGGAAGGGGGGTTTGCCACAGATAAGTAGATTGTATTTTTCAGGGAATGGAATAGAAAGAAGGAAGGAAGCACGCAAGAAGAATGGTAATTCCTATTGCCTGTTCTTCTTCTGAAGAGAATCGATCTCGCTTTTCGTTGAAATGGATAATTAATCATGTCGAAAGTTATCTTGAGATTTCGGAGGGAGATTGTTGTTGAGTACACTCGAGTAGCGTGTAGGTTTGGTGGATTTTTAAGGGCAAGTGGGACCTAGAGAGATAGAAGAACATCTTTAAATTTCTTAGTAACTCTACCGCGTTAAATATTCGTGATTGTTCGTCGAGAACGTCAATAATGACTCGAAAAGATGTCTTGAGGGATCGGTAAGTCGAGGCACGGGAATGCCAAGATCCGTAGATGCATGAAGATTTGATAGAAATCTATCTATTGAAATCTAAATGAGATGATTTTTGAAGAAAATATAGTATTGCTCCTTTCCTGATGAATGATTATCGATTGGTGAAGCTGTGGAGCGATTGATGGTTTTGGACTTAACCATCGGCTTCTCATTGCTTTCTCTTGAAATCGACATCTCGTCTTTGATCAAAGAATCAGATGAACATTCAGAATTTGATTGACAACTACTAAGTTGTGGAGAAGCAATGGAACATTACCTAGTTTTGATGCTAGCAATAACGATCTGCTATCCTAGCCTATACAACTGATGGAACTTATGCCCATTATATTTCCAATCCATGCTGTTCATGCGACCGCGACCATTTCTCCATGGATAATATCAAAAAAAGACGCAAATATTGATTTCAACCAGCTATTCGTAAAGACGTTCATATGATTGGTATGAATGATACACCCAAAGAAGAGCAAGTACGCGAATGAACATCAGCATGTCATCAACCAACTCGAATCTGCCTTTCCATAACCATCCCAACCCAGGAGATTAAACATACCAGCTAATGCGGCGAAGTTTCGTAGGAAACTAACACGTATCTAGTTCATTACATTCTAAGAGGCCGTTGTAATAGTCGTCAATGTGAAGATGTGAACTAGACCAATGACCCGAATCCAGAAGATTGAAGGTCTTAGCTAGATAAGAGGGTGGGATTTCAAACATGTTTCTGTCATCTTTCGTCATGCTCTGCGCGTTCTCATTTACTGAAAGGTTGACTTTTGAAAATTAGAATGCATCAGAATTAGGCACCGACTTGGAATATTCAATTTTGGACCTGCGGATCTCCTCCTAGTCATTGCGGAGCCAAGGAATATATATAACTCATTGTTAAAGTAATCGGATGACAGGATTATATATAGCTTTGCGGACCAATAGTTCAGCCATCACCCTAAAAGATGAAGAACGAAGAGTAGGCTAATGATATATAGGATTCGGATTATTGTCCTTTCATCATGAGCTTCTGTGTATCTGAAGCGAGTTCTCGTGCTCTCCTAAATAGGATATCGTATTTTGGACAAATAGTTCTCAGGGTCCTTGCGAGCTTGCAAGTATCGCATTGTCATATTTCTCGTAATCCGTAGATCCACAAATTGTACGGAGTATATTGCTGGCTTGATCTGACATGGCAAGTTCCGTTCCAAATCTCGAGATCCATGACATTGATATAGATTTGAATGCTCCGAATGAAACCAGTTCCTGCAAGATGATTGACAAGGTCCAGACAATCTAAAAGTGGTATAAGAACTGCAAAATTTCTATGTTAACCTTAATGCCCCATGCCTGGTATTTGATTCCCGAAAAACATCACGGGTGGCTGAACATCAAAAAGTCAATCTCTTGTTAATTAATCAATCCCCCGCATTTTATCGTGTAACATGGGGGTAATGGCGATTAGGAATCATCTTCAATCGCTTGTGGTTTGCGCTTGCGACTCGAGTTGTGCAACACTATTTGCAACGAAATTTAGAGGATTTTGTCATGATACTAAACGGATTTGATCCTGTGTTGCATATACATGAGTTTGATGAATGCTTCGATGGTGACGAATTTTCAGTCATACCTAAATCATCGTACTCGAAATGATCAAAATAGAAAATCAGCAGCGGATGTATACCCTTTTTGGGAAATACTTGGCGATGTCAACGTATACGCCCCAGACAATACAGTGCTTACTCCGTGGCTAAACATTTTGCACTGTGTTACCATGAATTTGAGACGTCAGGGACCTATGACGATCCTGCGTAAGCGACGGTTGAACTGAAATAAAGGCCAGGCTCATCGATATGATAAAACAATAAGTTGCTAATTCTCACAAGACAGTAGGTGCTTTCAATAGCTCTGCTTGACAGCGATCACATGCACCATCCAGGAAGTTGTCTTTATTTTCATTGTGATTTGAAAGGTTGAGCTGACTTCTGTAAATTTTGCGTTGTGCGAGCCTCGGACTATTCGTGGGCCTTCGACTGATCTTGTCCCGAATATTAGTGTAGGGAGGAACAAGGTATATAAAGCTCATACCAGTAATGTGAAGCGAGAAGAGAATTTCGGATGATATGTAAAGTGATTGTTGGTTACACCCGATATTTTCTTGTAAGAGTTATGGTCATCGCTCATCGCACACCGTAACGTTTTGTAATATAATCCTGCAAAATTCATGTTTCTTATATAAACTAAAATACTATATAATTAATCCAATTATTAATATTAAATTATAAAAACTTTATAATAAATAATTTGAATTATTATATATATATAAAAGTTTCTAATTTATTTTTAAATATTTTAATTGAAAAGTTATATAAACTTTTAATTAAAAAAAATTCAGAATTTTTAAACTTGTAACACTTTCCCCATACAAAATAAGCGAATTTTTTCAAAGTTTTTCGAATTTCCAACTTTAAACTTTTAAAAATACTATTATAAAAAATATTTAAAAATAAATGATATATTTTTTTAAGTAATTCCAATAATTCTGGATATTTTTATAATATGGTTTTTAATTTTATCTTTTATTATAACAAATAAGCTAGGATATAATAAAAAAAATAATCCTATATTTTAGCCGGCAAAAACGTTACCTGTGCGATGAGCGATGGCCCCAACTCTTACATCTTTAACCAATTGTGACGACCATTGCTTAATGTATTGTGCATTAATTCCAATTAAGCTTATTACTACCGCTAATAAACTTCTAAAGTGTCGATATCATGGCGATTATCAATTCGAACCAGTTCTTAGTTTTGATGGGGCGCCTATTGATAAGATAAATAGAATCTGGCACAAGTACGCGAGCTTTGTAGATCTGAGCCTTGGCCATCAGTCAGACAGATAGCTGGGTGCAAAAACCTGGGTTCAAAGTTCATTTATCTTTGAAACGGTTGGATGAATTTGTGGATATCGTCCTTGGAGTGAACTTCAGGAGGCGATTCAACGTTCGCAAAATGTTCCGAGCCGTTATCATGTGGCTGACACAACCAATGAGTTGCGGGGAGGATAACAATATCAATCCGAAGTAAAGTGGTCATATCCATTCTTAGGTCAACCAAAAATGGGTTGTAATACGGCTTAACAATACTCCATGTGTATGACGCACTTCATTGGCTTTTGAGTTGACGTGG